ATATATATATATGTGTGTGTGTGTGTGTGTGTGTGATTTTAAGTCACCACTATGGTGATTCGTTTTGGCTAGGTATTTTGACCTTTGTCACTTTTAATTACATTTAATTTTATTTTATTACATGCTCTTCCAGCCAATGTAATAGTGGTACAGAACACTGTGTTACATGAAAAGCTAGGTAAGTAATAATTGCCATCTACAATATATTATCTATATCTCCCTATGTAGTATGTGGAAATATTATGTTACAAATGAAATAGTTCATTACAATATATCTTTCTACAATTAAGGTAAGTGGATGTTTACCATTTTGGTAAAAATGATACTTGTTTATTGTCAGCATTATTGGGTTTTGTATGCAAAGTGGTGATATCTCATACTGTGAATATTCCCAGACTCGTTGTTATCACTGGTGAACCTTCAGTATTAGATATCAACACACTAAAACCCAATGAGACTGACAATAAACAAGCATAATTTAAAATGCCTCTGAGTGTTACAAAATAAGTCAAAAGAGATATATAGCAATATAAACCAGCAAATAGTAAAACAATGCCACCACATAATTTATTCATGCCAGATTGCATGCTGGGAACATCGCCAGCGTAGTACTATAGACATAACACTAGTTAATCTATAAAATATACAAAGGATTACTGTAATGCAGAAACAGATATCATTAGGATTCTACAACACCAAGCTGCTGCATCACAGTCATTCAACTCCCATGAAATTGGAGTATACAGGCATCATTTAATTGTAATTCTACCATTACTGAAGTGGAAATTACTGTGAAAGGTCAGCAACTATGTATGTGTATGCCAGGTCCTACCATAGTGTAGTTGTGAGCAACGTTCAAAAGATCCATGCATCCCTGAGCATCAGCAAACGAACGGATCCCCAGGCAGTTGGATGGGTGCAGTTGTTTCATCAGAAAGTTACAGCAGACCTGAATAACTTGTGAGAGCTGGAGGAGACAAGCAGCAGCTAAAAGACTTTCAATTGTCTCCTCTTTTAGCTCCAGGACTCCTGTACATTTGGAGAAAAAAGCGAAATATTCTCAAACTTTTCAGAATTATTCTAGGAACAAAATGGTATGTTTAACCCGTGTTGACTGAAGTATGTCAAACAGTTAGTTTGGGTTTGTAAATTAGTGTTTTGCCCACCGGCATTGACAAAAAGGGGAATGTGACACTTCTGCTGCGAACAGCACATTTAAATAGTCGGCAAGTGGAATGCAGATACTCACCAGTATATGCAAAATGAACCAGCGCTCGCAACGCCCCAGGATCAACACCCTCCATTTTAATTTCCTCTTGTTTTGCCTCCCTCACATCATTGGTGAACATTGCAGCAAAGTAGTCTGAAACCGCGCTCAGGACAAGTCTGCAAAAAATGGTGCAAGTGGTTTAAATATGCGACTGCATACTTCGAGATCAACTCAAACAACTTCTCGAGAGCCGTCTTCGTAGAAAATTCCTCCCTACAAAAAGATTTATCTCAGCGCAGCTATTTTCACCAGGTTGTTTCATGCAGCTCTGGGATGATGTTGATTGAGCTCAGTGTCAAACTGGGACACGCAGCAGAGATTTGGCTACAGAGAATTTTTCAACAGAATAGCATCAAAACACTCAGCGGCCGAGAGATTTCTTTAAATAAACACTGTTGAAGAAAGTTCAACACGCTCCGTAGTTTGAAATGGAGCGTGCAGCACATTTTTGACACTTCTTGATGCTATCATTTGCATATCTGTCCTTAAAGGAACAGTTCACGCAAAAAGAATATTCGGTTTTCACTTTTTTTACCGTAATGTTGCTCCAAACCCAAAGACTTTTTTAGATTTTTGAACAATGTGCTCATCGCCCTTTTCTGGCCTTGATCTTTCAAGCTTCAAAAAGAATGCAGAAGCATCAAAAAATTTAAATGAACATGGTCCTTGTGTGCTATATTTCTAGTTTTCTGAAGCCGTACTATTGTGTGATGAAAATCTTTCATATTTTTATCTACACTGTGAAAGTTCACTCAATCAAAACACATCAAAAGTTTTGAAACAACATGAGGGTGAGTAAATAACCGAATTTTTATTTTTTTTCATTTTGAACTATTTTGTTTCTCACAGAAAGCTAACTTCAGAAGGCTATACAGAAATATAGCATATGAATCATAAGCAACACTTTTTTTGGTGTTTGTGCAGAAACTCAAAAGCTCCAGTCCAAATTTATTTCATAAAAAACACAAACAGTTATTTCTTTAAAATGTCTCCTTTCATGTTCTGTAAAAGAAAGCCAGGTGAACTATTCCTCTACAGTTAACTAAGAGTTAATTGAAAGTTTTAAAGGGGTCATATGACGCAATTTAAATTTTTCCTTTCTCTTTGGAGTGTTACAAGCTCTTGGTGCATAAAAACGATCTGTAAAGTTGCAAAGACTAAAGTCTCAAATCCAAAGAGATATTCTTTATAAAAGTTAAGAGTCAGCCACACCTACCTAAAACGGCTCGTTCTAACACGCCCCCACATACCTACGTCATGATGTGGGAAGATTTGCATAACACCGCCCAAATGTTCACGCAAAGAAAGGCGGCGTAACTTTTATTCTCGCTGTAGTATTGTTGTTGCCGCCGCCGCCATGTCGTGAAGGCACTGTGTGATTCGTTGTGAAAGCGAAACTACTTTGTTTGGCCTTCCAAAAGAGGACGATATCCGATTCGTCATGCCTGGAACTGATTCATTTAAAGGATTTGCCACTGATGATTCAAACGTGAGTTTTGAGCAGTGTAGACTAGCGTTTATAGTTTGTCATTTCCCCGATCACAAATGCAGACATGGTTTTATGT